AGATAGGGTGACGTTATATCCCCCGAAACTCTTCACCGCTGCGTTGGAAGACGTTTTCAAGCTATTGGGCTGGAAAGGATACGGTATTAACATCAATGGCGAGTACATCACTCACCTTCGATTTGCCGACGATATAGTCCTTATGGCAGAATCGCTGGAGGACCTTAGCAGTATGCTCAATGACCTCAATGGTGTCTCCCAACGGACAGGTCTTAGGATGAACATGGACAAAACAAAGATCATGTTTAATGTCCATGTCACACCTATACCGGTAGTTGTTGGGAGCACTATGCTCGAAGTTGTTGACGAGTACGTTTACCTGGGACAAATAGTCCGACTAGGTAAGTCCAACTTCGACCGAGAGGTCAATCGACGGATTCAACTCGGCTGGGCAGCGTTCGGGAAATTACGACACATCTTCACGTCAGGTATACCTCAATCTCTGAAAACTAAAGTGTACAACCAGTGCGTGTTGCCAGTGATGACTTACGGATCAGAGACGTGGTCCTTCACCGCTGGCCGTATGAAGACGCTCAAAGTCGCTCAGCGAGCTATGGAGAGGGCTATGCTCGGAGTTTCTCTGCGTGATAGACTCAGAAATGAGGATATCCGCAGTAGAACCAGAGTGACCGACATAGCCGAACGGATTAGTAAGCTGAAGTGGCAATGGGCCGGCCATATAGGTCGAAGAACCAATAATCGATGGGGAAGAAAGGTTCTCGAGTGGCAGCCTCGTACCGGTAGGCGTATTGTAGGGCAACCCCCCACTAGATAGAGTGACGACCTGGTAAGACATGCAGGAAGTCGATGGATGCAGGTGGCTCAGGACCGTGCTTTGTGGCGTTACTTGGGGGAGGCCTATGTTCAGCAGTGGACTTGTGAAGGGCTGTAATGATGATGATGATGAATAAACAGTTAAAAAGGAAAGGAAATATAGGTGATCACTTGATGAAATTTTTGCTAGTATACCAGCAGCCACAGAAGTACTAAATATTTGCGCAGCAAGCTTCACACGCATTTTCTACTTGTTTGACGAAATATAAATATTATTAAAGGCAGGAGTATAAACAAAGTTCAGATTATTTCTATCTAAATCGTATAAATGTTTAATGTTGTTGTATATTAATGTCAAATATGTTTACCATCATTGAAAACGGGGGCTCTCATACTAGGCTTTTTATAGCGTACCATAAAAATCCACTGCTCAACAATGGGCCTCTCTCTTTGTAGAGAGGATTTCACAAAATCGTTATGCTTGACAGACGGATTGACAATTGTATTACCATGCGCTTTGCACATTTGCAGCTGCTTCTCTTCGCCGTTACGTTAGAGGTTGCTCTTATACTATAACTAGAGCCACGAGGGATTTGTAATCAAACTAAATAAAGTTCACATTTGGCCTAATCTACATTAAAACCAGGTGATATTGACAGAATGCTGACAAACATTTTTAGATTATTGTATTACATATATATATATATATACACCCTGTAGACCATCCCTGGGACTTTCACTTTCTTAATACTTCCATGGTCACGGGGGGGACTATTAATTATGGGACCCCAAGCAGATGGTAGCACCCTCACATGTTCTATATTGATATTAGGATGTTTTTCTTTAAATTTCAATTGCCTTACAAATCTTCCTCGGTAGAAATCGCGGTTCTTTGGCTAGGGGTTTATGTTTTATCGATATAATGGGTGGACTGGTAGAGAATGCCTCAAGGCATTAAGTCCGCCCTTTGTATTCTTTTGTTTAAGGATGCAATAAAGAATAAAATAAATAAATAATAAATAAATAATGGTTGGGACGATACTGAACTGACTTCCCGGAGTGTCCCGTTACGTGTTCACGCAAAGATGCGTAAAAAATCCACGTAAAACAGGTAAAATTAAAAGCGATAAAATTCGTAAATTTTATTTTATTCCACGTGTAGTATTTGCGTAAATATAAGAAATCAATATATAGTTCGTGCCAAATCGATTGAGAAAAACGGACATTGACCTTTCGGTCGTTTAACCAGGGGCTACAAACCTTCAATATATAGGCACTTTTTATATGTAGTACTTTCTTTCTTTATAAAGATTTTTTTATTATTTTTTATAATGATTGATATAATATATATTTATTAATTATTATTAAACAGTTATGTAAAAGATCGCTGTTGAAGAAAAATCATCTATTGTTATGAAGTACTTTATTAATTTAACAACAAAAAGCATTAATTTATAACACATATAAAGATTCGAGTGATAACGACAACGAATAAGTACGTACTTATTCAAAAGATAAAACTTTATTTTCAATATTATATAAGAACTTGTGCGGTGCATGCAAGCCGGTCCAAAAAAAGTGACGCATCTCTGGCTGCCATTGTCACGTTTCTTTTAGAACGAACTGACGTAACGCGCATTTTATTTATTTTAAAGGGATGAATTTGCAAAAGCTCAATATGGTGATCATATTGCTTCAAATATTTTTTTTATATGAAACTGTTATTAAATGAATTGCTGCGTTACTTACCATAATTTGAAATATAAAATATAACACATTTTTCGCGATGTACCGTAAGATTTTACGATGCTTATAGGAACCACAGACAATATTATTTAAGAAACAAAAAAAAACATATGTGCTAACCTAGAAGTGTGAATAATATCAATATTTAAATATTGTTATCACATCTAAATTGAGATTTTGTAAGTTACGCCTTTTAACACTCAGCTCATATCTGAGGTCTTCGTCCGTTTTTCTCAATCGATCAATCGATCGATCAATATTAAATGCGATCAATGATATGAATCAAATAGGTATAGAATATAGACACCATGGCGTAAATTAATGGACGACAATGAAATTCATCATTGTTTTGTTAAAACAAATTTAACTTTAATGATAAAATAAAGTAAAGTGTAAAATATTTACATTTTACACTTTACATTCTTTCATCATTTCGCAATATTTTTTCTTTCTTATATAATATAAGGTGACCCCAATAAAGCCTATGTCATAATAAGGCCTATTTTTAATTAATCTAATTTTAATAATTCTAACTACCTGCTTCACGATTTCAAATGGACGTCAATGTTTGTAGATGTGTGCGTGTACATTAACTAAGGCCCAGTTTACATTTTGAGAAGTGACAAATGTGAGTGGCAAGTGAGAAGTGACAAGTGCGTATTTTATTCCCACTTAACACTGCCTTTCACGCGCACTAACCACTTGTCATTTGTCAGTTGCACTTGACACTCGCACTTGTCACTTCTCAAAATGTAAACGGAGCCTAACACTAACACCCACAAGCACAGCAACTGGCCCGTGCGGCGAGCGTGTTGGAAACTGCAGTCGAAAACAACAACGACGTTACAGTAAACAGTAAGTGTTTTTATTTATATCTGTACACGGTGTGCTGTGTTTTGTCATTAGGATAATTATACGTGTAGCCATCTCCTCACGCAATTGAAAACGCTGTAATATCGGTGTATTCTATAAATTCTATAAAGCCTACAAAAATGGACTTCGCAAAAGATGGAAAACGCTGTTAAAATGATAGAAAGAGGTGTATTATCTACATATGCTGCTGCTGCAGCCAGATACAACATCCCAAGAAGAACCCTTCGCAACCATCTAGCGAGTGCGTCGACTACACGAAAGCTAGGTCGGACGACTATATTAACCACAGAACAAGAAGTTGAACTTGTCAGAAGAATCATACGTTTGGCTGATGTTGGAGTGCGGTTGACCACAAAGATGTTGCGCGTACAGGCTTTTTCATTTCTGTAAAATTAAAAAAATTCCAAACACTTTCAATGATTGTGTGAAATGAAGAAATGGTTGAGGTTATTTCTCAAATGACACCCTGAATTAGTCCGTCGTAAAGCACAGATGACGAATCCAGCTCGTGTTCAAAAATTAAATAAAGATATTGTTAGTGGTCACTATTCCAAATACAAAAGTGTGCTAGATAGACTTGAAATTGAACATAAACCTGGAAGCATTTACAACATCGATGAAAAAAATTGTCGCACTGATTGACACAGCTTTGCACCATCAGCAGTAAGTTCTGACAGCCAAAACGGAGAAAAAGAGTTCATCAAATAGCGAATGAGCATGCTGAAAGTGTGACTGTGGTAGGCTGCGGAAATGCTATTGGATCAGCTATTCCGCCAATGATATTGTTCAAAGGCAAGAGACTAAAAACAGAATTCCAAGACAATTTACCTCCAAACTCTCCGGTGAAGATGACGCCAAAAGGAAGTATGACGACAGAGACTTTCATAGAGTTTATTAATCATTTGCATTAATACAGAATATCAGGACCATGTCTCCTCATATTTTGATGGTGCAAAATGCCACCTTGACTTACTATTGTCGAGGAAGCTGAGAAATGTGCCATTTCTTTATATTGTCTTCCGTCAAATACCACGCACGAGTTACAGCCCATGGATAAATCTGTTTATCGTTCTTTTGAGTACCATTGAGACCTAGAGTTGATTAAACACGTCATTCAGTATCCCGAACGAACCCTTAACAAGACAAGCTTCAATGTCATTCTCTCACAAGTATTGCCGAAATGTGAAATGTATGACTATTACCAATATCTCGAATGAGTTTCGCATTACAGGGTCCATATAACCTATACCTATACCCATATAATCCATATAACCCAGGTGCTATTCTTGAAGAGGCGTTTGCGCCCTCTGCGTTGTCAAAACTTCCAAAATCCTACAAACAGTGAGAATATTGCTGTCTTATCTGATGAATCGGGGGAACAAGAGATTTCAACTGCAAATGTGGAAGTTTCAGCTGGGTCAGGCACAGATACTGAGAATTTGCCACTGTACTTGCTCTCAAAAAACATTCCGAATGCTGGAACTCCACAGAAGATAGACAATTAATCAACCACGTGTGAGATTCATGAATTTTTACCAACTCCTAAGTTTAAAGTTGTAGCGACTGCTCTACGCATTAAGTCTCTGAATTACAGGGCTTAAGAGGTAATGAAAGATTTGTTTGGTGACAGTGCTACGAATTCCACATCACAGATTACTGCACCATCTTCAAGAGTAGAAAATTTTGCTGATACTTCATCTATGATAAAGACACCAAAATCAGCGTCAATTACTGGCTGTACATCTACACAAGCTGTAGTTGCTGCAACGCAAAAGCGAACCTCAGTAAAGACAGCTTCTTTGAAAGCAGAAAACTTACGGGATCTAAATCAGAACGTCACGATAGTAAACCTTATTGGTAGTGTCCATCTTGTAAAGAAGATCGAGTTGATGATATGCGACAATGTCTTACTTGGTGCGTTTGGTATCATGGGTGTGTGTTGGACTCACACCCGCTGATAAAATATTTTACTGTTCAAGAGATTGTTTAAAAAAAGATGAAAAAGGCTGATTAATATAGTACTTTTACATGATGAGAAACTCGTTAAATCTGATCTAAAATGATCAAAAGTAATTAATGGGATCTCATTAGATTTAATATAAGTATTGACAACGTTATTTATTCGATAAGAAGTTGAATGTTTACTTGTTTTTATTAAGGCTTTATTAAGACACAGGATTTCCAATAAGGCCAAAGTGACATTTTAGTTATTTGTGTTCACAAAAGCGTGATTTTTGTTTCTAAAGCAATTTTGTTTCATTTATTACAAACTTTAATAAATAAATATAAGCATTTAAAATTAACAGTGCATTGTTGTTAAAAACCCGCTCGTTATATTATAAAAAAATTAAGGTAGGCCTTATTCGGGTCACCCACCTTACATTAGAAGACATACTGTATATATAAAAACTTGTAGGTGTATAAGTATAGACATAAGATATTAATGCAATTATGAAAAACTTATTTATTCACGTGTTTCTCTAACATATTACATCTATGCCAAATATCAATCACCTACGTCCAACAATCGTTTTTGAGAATTAAAAAAATTTTTGACAGACATAGAGACAGAGGTGACTCTGATAGTGATCGAATTTTGCTAAATATGACACGGACGATTGCTGTTTTAACCAATCGTCGATTGCTTAAAACAGCAAACGCAACGCAACGCGCGCAACAGCGCGCCATAATTAATGCCTGGTACATGGAATCATTAGTCACCACTAGCGCCCTCTAGTATCGAGTAGTAGAACTAGGAGAGTTGAGATCCTTCTAGTTTTCTATGCCAGAACTTTCTACATCTAGACATTCAGGACCGCTTTACACTCGAACATTCTAGACGTTTCAGTAGAAAAGGCCCTACATAAGGCCGGTATCAACCGCAACCCGAGTCAGTTTTGAAGTGGCGATACAAGAGAATACTTCCAAGCGATATAACTGCGAACTAAAGTGATCAATAGTACAACTATGTTTTATTATTAGTTTTTTTTAAAGTTGTAATTGGTATTCGGTAATTAAAGTATCAATTTTGGTAATTCAATCGGCAGTTTTTATTGTCACGTACCCCAAGCTCGTAACAGTATTTCCAGATATATCCGATTTATCAAAGTGATCTGAACATATAACCGAATTCTCAGCTGGTTTATAAAAGTCATCTCTTCTTTCTCTGGCGACTATCGAGATTCATTCCGCACACTTGAACGGATTGCTAGGAAAGCTAAAATAAACAAAAGCTAAGTATCTGATGAAATTACACAAACAGAGATAAAAGTAGTAACCATCATTATTTAAAGTTTTGGTAACAAATTATTAAAAATTATTACAATATACGCGTGTTTTGACCAACCTTGGCAAAACATTTGTAGGGGTCGTTTAAAATCGGTAATTTTGTTTAAAATATGATATTATTTGTTAGTTTAGAGCTTAAAATATATTTGCTTTTTTGGGCATTATTCTTGCAACTTTTAAATATGTACACATTACGGCATTGTGAAAGTTTTTCATGTTGGCTGTTTCAGGTGAACTAAACGAAATAAGAGCTCACGTCTTAAGTGCGCTCTTATTTACGGAGACGTATTTTTTGCTATCTAGTTGGTATTGTTGATCGAATACCTCAGTGGTTTGCTCTTTAATTGTTTGCACATTTTTTAACTCTTTTTTAATTTTATACTTTTACAATTATTGTGGTTTGGTTTAATTATTTTTAAACTAATTAATAAAAAAAATATACATAATTATAGAAAGAAACATTAAATTTTACATTTTTAGAACAAATTATCTTCCCCGCTATGAAATCTGACAAATATCACACCTCATTTTTAGGGTTTCATACCCAAATGGTAACCAACAAGACCCTATAACTAAGCCTCCGCTGTTCGTCCGTCTATCCGTCTGTCTGTCAGCAAGCTGTATCTCATGATCGGTAACAGGTAGACAAATGAAATTTTCACAGAATGTGTATTTCTGTTACCGCTATAATAACAAATAATAAAAATAAATTAAATATCAAAGGGAGCTATCCTACTAGAAACGTGTTTTTACCATTGTATGGAACCCTTCATGCGCGAATCCGACTTCCACTTGGGAAGACTCGCGCGGATCGCCGTAGAGAACGGACGCGCGCAGCGGAAAGCTCCCGAGAGCCGATCCGCGCACGACCCACGCACTGCGTATGGTATCTTGAAATTTCGTACAGCGCGACGAACCTGAGTAAAATCGAAAGACAATACATAATGGCACTCAAGAGTGCTGCCCAACTACCGAAAAGAATATCCACAGAGGCGCTATGGGAGATGGCTGACATAGAGGCCTGGCACCTACGTGCCGAGGACATAAATCAGAAGATGTTGGACAACATTGCCCAGCTGGAAATAGAAGACCTAGAATCCCCCGGGGACGCCTACCTGGCGCACGGAGAATTCAATCCCCTCAGGACCAATCATAGAATAGGTGAAATTGTATATGATCCCAAAAAGAAAAATTACAAGTGCTGGCCCACGGATAACACGGGAGCCCTGCGCCCTCTTAGGATAAGGTAATTAAGGCTAGCAAATAAGTACACAAAAACAAATGAAATACATAATAATTTTATTGTATAAACTTTATTATGAATAAGCAAAACACAGCAAACACAGATCCACCTAGGACATAAGTTAGCTGACTCACCCTCGCACGGATCACCGGCCGTGAGGATGCAAATGTAAATACACAAGTAGGCAAATAAATAATTTCTGATTCTGATTCCACTTGGCTGATTTTTAAGTTACAAAGCCCTGGTGGCAGATAAAAGTCGTGAATTACCTCAATGACCTCATTCATCAAACTAGTAAGGCAGAAAAAAGCTAGTATATATAAAAAACCACAAAACTTTATTATTTTTGTAGTACTTATAATTAAACTTAACAGCTTTAAATACTTAGTTGACATATTTGTCTTGCTGGCCTTACCCTACTGTACATATTTATATTAAACAAAAACCAGTTCCAATTCAGATTAAACAGTGAATCATTGTTTAAGGTTTCTCTTGACTGCTTCTGCAAACATTTCAGCTCCTTTTCTATTCTCCTCATAACCAGGTAAGTTAGCACAGTTTTTTAGCCAAGACTGGATATTTGGAAAAGATGATATGTCCCAACCAAATGCCTGAAATGATATAAATGCAACTGTGACATAAATATTCCTATCAAATAGAGTGTGTACCTACAATGTGAATGTCCAGATTATAGTTAATGTATTGCTACTTTAATTAGCAAAATCAAAAGAGTTTTTAGCTTTTTATATTGCTTCTTAAAAGCATAGCACAAAATGATTATTTTTAAAGTCAAAATAAAACATTTAGCCTAAAGACTGTATGTATAAAAAAAGATAAAATACAACTGTTCAAATATCTATTTAAAACTAATTTAAAAATTAATCATCTGCATTAATATTGTACGGTGTTTTCCTTGTATCTTATGCGATTATCTTACCATTATAAAATATTGGACATGTAATGGCAGCATAGAGGAACTTATTATATATATATATATATATACATATATATATATATATATATATATATATATATATATATATATATATATATATATATATATATATATATATTATTGATGGGCAGCAGCATCTTCCTGATACCAATCCAAAATTATTTAAAATTATGTACTTGCCAACCAATCTGGCAAGAATGGCAACTTTGGCAAATATTCTCCCTTAGAAACAATCTATTGCTTATGTTCAGCAGTAGATCTTTGAATAATCAGTATGTAATAAATCAAAACAAAAAAATATGTCAATATGAGTAGTAAAAATAATAATTACATCTTGCCCCATACAGATTTGTAAACTCATACTTTAGGTTGTTAGGTTCTAAAAAATAAATTTCAAAAACCTCTTATGTCCAGCTTGATCCGGACATCTAACAACCCTACCCATACACATTCCTAACTCCATACAATGAGTCTTCAAAATTATGATTGTGAATTTTTAATAGCCATGAAAATACTTGTACCTTGTACTCATTTTAAGTTTTGATGTTACTAGTAAAAACAAAACCATACATTCATGTAAACCTACCAATATTCCTGATAATGAAGCAAAGATAGTTGTATCTGCAATTGTTACACTGTCACCAGCCACCCAATTATTGCCCTCTAAAAACTTGTCTAGGATGGCCAATGATGCATTGAAGTCTTCTTTTAAGTTTTCTTTAATTTCTGTCACACCATTATATATTATTGGATACTGAAAAATTGTTAAAATTTTACAACTTTCGCAAAAGTAACAGGAAATTATAAGCATTTAATAAATCAAAAAGATCATACATAAATAGATTTCATTTTTACAGTTAAGTTAGAACTATCAAAATACAAGCGCTGATTAACTATGGCACGTTGTTTGATATCCTTAGGATAAATTGAGTCATCTTTGCCATATTTTTCAGCCAAATAACATGCTATTGCTCGACTCTCCCAAAGTATGAAACCATCATCATCAAGGGTTGGAATACAATGCTGTGGGTTTATTTTCATATAACTTTCACTGTATTGTTCTTTTTTGGTCAAATCCACTATTTCTAATTGAACTGGGACTCCAATTAATCGTGCTGCTAAGAGCGCTATTCTTGCTGCACCACTTGCAGGATAATAATAAAGTTTGACTGTCGACATTATGAAATTAAGCTACTAAACACTACCTAGTGTTTTTGGAGAAGTGCATAAAATTCAATAAAAGCAACAAAAATAATACAGCTCCACAAAGCTACTCGAAAAAAATAGGTACCTACACGTTTATCTCTCAGATGAAGTAAAGTTTATCTGCTACATATTTATTTATCTATGAGTTTATCTATGAATTACTAATTTCTTGATTTTACGTTTTACGTTTTTTTATTCAATTACGTTTGTTGTGTGCAGTGTTGCCAGATGCCTTGAACCTTTTATCTGTATTAGAAACTGCTAAAATCTGTATTAAACTAAAAATCTGTATAATATAATAAAACAAAATAGAATAATTGATCATCATCATTATCATTGCTTCTTTTAAAAAACAAGGAATAACTACTAACATGATAATGCGATAAAGTTTGATTACTTATCGTTATTAAATATTTTTTTTTATAGAATAAGAGTGACAAACGAGCACACAGTACACCGATGGTAAGTGGATGCTGTGGCCCATAGACATCTACATTTATCCTCGCTTAAGAATCAAAACGCAGATGCGTTGTCACACCTGAGGACTAAGATGGAATGCCTTGTTTCCAGTAAAAAAGGGTCTCCGGATTTCTACACTCTCCATACGAAACACAGCAGTATTAAGCTGGTATTTTACGCTGGTATTCTGTGAGAACGTGGTCCTTCCCCGATCGAGCTGACTCATTCGTGCTGCAACCGTGATATAGCTGCAGCGTGGCTCTACCAAGTATAAAATATAGACTATATACTAAATTTTTTTATATGACAATTTCTAAGCGCTTTTAATCATCGCGGGCGCTACACAATTTTAGAGGCGCTAGGCGTTTCTTCAAGTTTTTATAGAAATTATGTATTCATTCGGATCAGTACGGCGATAGCGTTTTCGATATGTCGTCTTAAGCAAACAACGTATTAAAACTCAAACATTTGCAACAAACGAACATATAATTACATTATTATTTTCAGTCATACATATTTTATAATACATTTGTAATTTTGCCGTACTAACTAATTATGTTGTGAAAAAATAAATTAACCATAAAGAATAGAATTATGCAATGATGCGGGTAACGCGGTATCTAATCACTTATTTTGCTTCGTTCTGTTTTAAGTTGAATATTATGGTAAGCCAATAAATAGAGTTGGAAAACTCTATAAAAATCTGTATCCGGTGCTAATCTGTATCACACACCGAAAATCTGTATAAATACGGGGAAATCTGTATATATGGCAACACTGATTGTGTGCATACTGCACAGAACATAGGATGTTTTGTTTCTTGGACTTGAACACAGACTACTAATTGAATGAAAATTTACAATTTGTATTCTTTGATTAGTATATACTTGTACTTGTCAACATATAATCAAAGTTGTCAAGATAGAGACGGAGTGTTATGCTCATAGAGGAAAGTAATATACGAGGGCGGCACTGAAAATTTCGGGAATCAAGGAAGTGACACAACATTACTATTTAAAAATGTATTTATTGCTTTTCGAAGTAGTATTCTCCGCAAAATTTGACACATTTTTCCATACGATGGAACCAATCATTGAAGCAACCATTCCATTCGGAAGTTGGGGTCTCCAAAATGGCCATTTTGTAGGCGTCCACAGCTTCTTCAGGTGATGAAAATCTCTGTCCACGCAATTTATTCTTTATTTTAGGGAAAGTATAGAAATCATTAGGGCTTAGGTCGGGGTTGTACGGCGGATGATCTAATAATTCTATGTTTTCTTGCTCTAAAAACTCTTTTGTTCTGTGTGTGCATTGTCGTGATGGAGGATGATGCGGCGGTTGCAGTTCTCTTTACGGAGTTCAGAAACGACCTGTGGCGAACAAATGCTAGCATACCATTCTGCATTAACCGTTCTTTGTCCCTCCAGAGGAATAGTTGTAACATGGCCGGTTTTGGAGACAAACGTGGCCACTATTTTTTTTGCAACCGTGAACGAACAATTTTTGTTGGCTTTAACTCATTTTCGAACACCCAAACTCGTGACTGGTTTTTTGTTTCGGGTTTGTACGCGTATATCCAGCATTCCTCACCTGATACGATGTTGTATACAGCATTTGAGGATCCTGCGTGGAATCGTTCGAGAGTTCTGACGCACCAAGTAACGCGAGCCGCTTTTTGCTCTTCACAGATCGAATGCGGTATCCATCGGGATAACAACTTTTTTACACCTAATTGTTCATGCAAGATTATATTTGTATTTGACTCATGCCGATGTCTAAAGTTGCCTGAATTTCGCGGTATGTCACATGTCGATCTTTTTTTTTTTTTTTTAATAGAAGAAGGGGCAAACGAGCATGCGGCTCACCTGCTGTTAAGTGACTACCGCCGCCCATGATCAACCGCAACACCAGGAGAATTGCGGGTGCGTTGCCGGCCCTTTAGAAAGGAGTAAGCTCTTTTCTTGAAGGTCCCCAGGTCGTATCGTTCCGGAAACTATTCCACAGAGAGGTTGTACGTGGAAGAAAACTCCTTGTGAAACGTACAGTGGTGGACCGCCAAGCATCCAGATGGTGTGGATGGTATCGGGACGTTTGACGTGTAGTGCGTTCACGAAATTTGGCGGCTGGGATTAATCCGAACAATTCCTCAGAGCACTCCCCGTGATAGATGCGATAAAATACGCAAAGAGATGCAACATCTCTTCGCAGCGCCAGTGAATCGAGCCGATCGGAAAGCACTCGGTCGTCGACGATTCGAGCCGCTCTGCGCTGGATGCGGTCAAGTGGAAGAATCTGGTACTGGGGAGCCCCAGCCCAGAGATGGGAACAGTATTCCATGTGCGGCCGAACCTGCGCCTTATAAAGTTGCAGGCGGTGTGCCGGCATGAAATACTGTCCCGCTCTGCTGAGCACGCCAAGCTTTTTAGAGGCCAATTTGGCCTTCCCCTCCAAGTGACCACGAAACTGCACGTCACTCGATATGTCGATGCCGAGGATTCCGATACTGGCTGAGGCAACAAGGGGAGTGCCTTGAAACTGAGGGGATACGACAAAGGGGTTCTTTTTAGCGGTTAACGCGCAAACTTGTGTCTTCTGGGGGTTAAACTGGACTAGATTTAGTCGCCCCCAATCCGAGACTCTGTCCAGCAGAGACTCGACTTCAGACACAAGTTTGTCCCGGCACTCGGAGACGTTTTCCCGAGAAATGTTGGCTCGGCCGGTGTAAAGAGCATCACCAGTGCTGTCATCTGCATAGCAATGAATGTTACGGGTATGCAACATGTCATTGATATGCAGAAGAAACAGCGTTGGCGATAGCACGCAGCCCTGTGGAACACCAGCATTAATAGGCTTGCAATCGGAGCTTGCACCGTCTACAACGACCTTGATGCTCCGATCTGCAAGAAAGCTGGTGATCCAATCGCACAATTTCTCGGGAAGCCCATAGGAAGGGAGCTTCGAAAGAAGCGCTTTGTGCCAAACCCGATCGGAGGCCTTCGCAATGTCCAAACTAACGGCCAATGCTTCCCCCTTGAACTCTACTGCCTCCACCCATCTGTGAGTTAGGTAGACCAGAAGATCACCAGCTGACCTACCACGGCGAAAACCGTATTGGCGGTCACTAATCAGCTGGTGATCTTCAAGGTACCTCATGAGCTGGCAGTTTACAATGGACTCCATTGTTTGGGAGAACAAGGAGGTGATGGCGATTGGCCGGTAGTTGGACGGGTCAGAGCGGTCGCCTTTTTTTAGGGATCGGGTGGACGTAAGCCGTCTTCCATGATTTTGGGACTACGCCTAGGGAGTAGGAGTACCGGAAGAGACGATTTAAGACCGTTGCCAACTCTGGAGCACACGTCTTCAGCACAATTGGGGGGATACCATCAGGCGCACTCGACTTGTAGATGTCCAGGAAGAGGAGTGCTTTGCGAACCGAGCGCTGTGTGAAGTGCACTTTCGGCATGGAGCACTCACACCGCGGCATGGTCGGCGGAGTACTCCCCCCGTCATCGAGAGTCGAGTTAGACGCAAAGAAAGAGCCTAGAAGATCGGCTTTCTCCTTTGCGGTATGGGCCAGTGAGTCGTCCTCCCTGTGCAGAGATGGAAGAGATGGCTGACAGAAATTCCCCTGGACAGCCTTGGCGAGAGACCAGAATGCACGGGTTCCAGAAGGAAGGCCAACTAGTTTCTCGCCAATTCTGCCTATGTGCTCTGACTTTGCCTTGGCAATGACTCTTTTGAAGGACCTAGAGACGGAATTATACTTCTTTTTTAGAGCGCTGGTGTTTACATCCCGGGACGCTGATGCATCAGCCCAGGCTTGGTAACACTCCTGCTTATAGCATGATGCTATTTTACAGGAGCGACCAAACCATGGCTGAGACTTGCCTCCAATGGGCACCACAGAGGAAGGAATAAAAAGTTCCATACCCTGAAGTACCACATCAGCGACAGAATCCGCAACAACGTTGGGATCATCCGGCGAGAAGCAAACCCGCCCCCAAGGGTAGGATGCAAAGAAAGACCGCATCCCATCCCAATCGGCTGACCTATAGTGCCAAACACGGCGGCAGCCTGCAGAATGCAACCGCGATTTCAGCGTGAGTGGCACCACACTCCGGACAAGACAATGGTCCGAGGAGCCTAAAGGGGCGTCGACGGATATCAGATATCCGTCCGGGTGAGAGGTCAGCAGAAGGTCCAACAGGGAAGGTGCATGATCCTCCACATCTGGAATCCGCGTAGGCGAAGTAACCAATTGTGTCAGACCATATGCCAAGGCAAAATCATGAACAGATCTCCCCGCATGATCGGTTAAACGTGAACCAAGCCATTCGGCGTGATGGGCGTTAAAGTCGCCGAGGATCACGATCTCTGCGGAGGGGATCTGCTGTAGCAACGAATCTGCAGCCATTTGGACGTGGTCGAATAGTCGGTCTGTTTCGGCATTACCGCTATGGGACCTATAGAGGCACCCGTAGACGCGCGGATGGTCGTCGCTGTCTACGCGTAGC